AAGAAGATGACTTAAATTTAGAATTTTAGATAGTTAAATCAAATTTGTCCCGAATTCTCGATTAAAATGTTGATTTGTGGTTGGGTTGTGTGGGTTGTGGGTTTTTAAAATGAAAAATGAGCTTAATTTATGGATTATCTAGTCAAAACTCACTAACCCAAAATGAGAAGGCCGAAAGAAAATAAGCTAAAGTCCAATCGCCAAACAGAAGGTAAAATCGAGATTTTACCTGATTTCACGGTAAAATCTAAATTTTATGAATTTCAGATTTTAGTATAGATTTTACATGAAATGTCTTGCTGAAATCATAAAATCTTAAGATTTTAAGATTTAAATCTAGATTTTGACAAAAATGTTTATGACCGCTTAACGTTTATTGACTTCAAGTCCCTCGTCAATGGCAATAAAAGTAGTGAGTAGTTTCAAAACATAAGTCTAGATCCCGCTTTAATTATTAAGGTTGTTCTGATTTTATCAGTTGTTTTTAAAGATTACTCCTTTTGTCTCTAACGATAATTGTTAGTTTTGTTTTTATTTTAAAATTAAAAATTTGAGAATAATTTTTTATTTTATTTATTTTATTTTTTAAAAGAATAAAAATAAAGAGATTTTTATATAATAAAATAAATAATTAAAACTAAAAAATAATCATTTAATAAAAAAAATATTTGCTTGCTTTTTTTAATTTTTTTTAAATAACAATTATTGTGAGACATATTTTAACTAAAAAGATTTATTTCTTTAAGATAAAAGAAATAATTAAAAAAATACAGTTTTGCAAATTTGAGTTAGAAAGAGGGGCAAACGTGACTTTACGAGTTCCTAATTTAGAATTTTAGGACTATTCTGGAATTACGTTTGTAACCCGGCAGAAAATTTTATTACTATTTTCTTGAAGCCACCTTAATTATTATAATAATACTTTTATTCGGAAAAAAGAAATGAAAAAGGCAAGAGCAATAGGATAAGGTGATCATGCCAATGGGTAGGTGTTTTTTCTTTTATTTTCTATATAACCGGAAAAAATATAATATTAAATTAAAATCTGTTCGAAAAAAATTAAATTTAAAACCCAACCTGCCGATCGAGGTGCTTTTCATCTAGTTTTCACTATGAAGAAGGGTGACCCCCACTGCAACCACGCTGGGGAATGCGATGGGTAGGTGTTGAATTATTGGGTAAGGGCAAAAACAATGCAGTGAGGCCAACTGGGGGCCCAATTGTTGCTGATACAGGAAAATGATAATAAAACTACACAGAAGTTAAAAATTTCTGTTGCAAGGACTAATTTGCCTCTGTCATGACCAAAATCATCTTCGTCCCCTGCTTTTCAATTTGGTGAGGTTTCGAAGACACCTTCCTGCATTGACTTCAAGTCAATTCCATCGTCAATGGCAATTTTTTTTTTTTGGTAGAATCGTCAATGGCAATTTGGTGAAGTGTGGATGACACCTCCCTTCTGCATCGACTTCAAGTCAATTCCATCGTCAATGGCAATTTGGTGAAGTGTGGATGACACCTCCCTTCTGCATCGACTTCAAGTCAAGCCCATGGCAATAAAAAATTAATGAGTAGTTTTACGTTCTCTAACCTCTCTCGACTAGAATCGGTGTATGTGCACTGGGAGATCCACGCAAACTGTTTCT